AGACATAAGGGCGCCTCTAAGATATGGAGTAAATTACGAACAGATATCCTCGAAGATGCCACTGAGTCACCCAAATGACCCGATGCTCGTCGAATGTGAAGACTGTGTGTATGTGTCAGTTTGTGTATGCGTATGCCTTTCAGTGTGCGTTTGTGCATGCGTGTATGTCTGAGAATGCACGTGCATATGTGTGTGTGTGTGTGTGGGGGGTTGTGTGTGTGTGTGTGTGTGTTTGTGTATGCGAGTGCGTTGGAGTATGCATGTGTGGTTGAGTATGCATGTGCGTGGTGTGTTCGTTTGTGTATGTGTGTGTATGCGTGTGTATGAGTTTGTGTATGAGTGTACGTCTGAGAATGCAGTGCATGTGTGTGTGTATGTGTGTGTTTGTGTATGCGAGTGCGTTGGAGTATGCATGTGTGGTTGAGTGTGCATGTGCGGGTGCATGTGCGTGGTACGTGTGTGCGTTTGTGTGTGTGTGTGTGTGTGTGTGTGCCCGAGGGAGCGCGCCCGCCGCCGGGAGTGTTCCGCCCGAACGCAACGGAGGCGCGTGCGTGTCGCGCAGGCGCTGTACCGGTCGGGGCGCGCGCGGCCTCTGCTCGGCGTCTTCCACCTGCGCGCGCCGGCCTTCCTGCTGCGCGACCCGCGCCTGCTGCGGCGCGTGCTGGTGGCCGACGCGGCCGAGTTCCCGCGCCGCTGCGCGCCGCCGCCGCTCGCGCGCCCCACGCACCCGCTGCTCGACAAGCAGCTCGACCTGCTGCCGGGTAAGCCCGTTCCCATCGTCGCAGTTCTTAACGCACGCGTGAGAACGCTCGCATTCATTTTTATTAGGGACACTGGCCAAGTCTTTGCGATGATCCTGGACGTAAACGCGATGATAGCTACTCATCTACATACAAACATACAGTTCCATAAACACTCAGCACAGAAGGACGACAAGCACAAAGGGCGCAATTAAGTAACGAAGATGAATATTTCTTAAATATGAGCATGACGTATGGTTCTTTGAGGTTTTTCATGTAAAATGATGATCAATGACGATGTACACTGTACCAAACTGTATAAGGTTCAGTTAAACGAAAACTCCAGATAATTTGCCAGACATAATCCTGAGTTATTCTCAAACCACGTCATCGTAAATGTGACCTATAGATATTTTGCCAATCTTCACGATTGCGTCTTGTGTGTTTGTTTTCATTCACGTTCATTGTCGTGACTGCTCTCCATCCATCAACAAGGTACCGAACTTTTGCCTCGTTATTTTAATGTTATGGAGTTTTTGACCTTCGCGCGCAAACACCAACTTATCAGATTACTATTGAGCGAGCAAACAGTCGCAACCTGTGAAGATGAGACACAGTGCGCGTAGCGTTTGCCAGGTCACTCCAGAGGGAATATATACGCGATAAATGGGATATTTACCTCTGTTTTTCATTCCTCAATTGCTTCAACATCACATCGTAACATTTTAATCCCAAATCAATCAGATTAATCGTCAATTTCAAGTCTCTTTTAAGAACTGGCCTCATATCATATAATAATGCATCTGCAGTCAAATGTTATTTGGTCGCCCTCTTTAAGAAATATCTTTTCATGTAAATATTTGCCAGGTATTTCCTCCCGAGAGAAACACTTCTGCGATTTGCACGAATCTGTTATGGTTTCCTGTCGAGGTAAGAAGTACATCTTAAGTGCATCCTCCCTGATGTATTCCTTCGCGAGAGAGGCTGACGTGTGTCGTGCTGTTGCGCGCGTGCGGCAGGGCGGCGCTGGCGGCGAGTGCGCGAGGTGCTGGGGGCGGCGCTGGCCCCGGGACGCCTGGAGACGCAGCTGCCGGAGGTGGCCGCGTGCGCGCTGCGGCTCGCCCAGCGCCTCGAACTCAGCGGCGCCAGCGGCGGTGAGAGGCGACGCTATGGCAATTCACGCGCACTAAGGGTGTTAATATGCTCTAGAGGCTGAACTTAATTAGATTTAGATTTAGATTTGTTCAGTCAAAAGACAGTAAAAACTGTATGACGTAGGGGGGGAAAGATTATCTGCGCACGTTTTCTTGAATACCAGAATCCCTTCACGTTATTTTAACTATAAAGAATTGAATGATGAGTAAAGGATTAACATTAATAAATAAAAATAAATTTTAAAAATGGCAAGATAAGCAATATTTGAAAAATAGTCATTTTCGTTTCTGAGTTATAGAAAACTTATTTGCATCGGTACACGAATTGCAAGTATGATTTTTATGCATTGCTTACAAAATAGGAACTCGCCCTTACCCCGTGTTTTAAAAAAAATATACAATACAAATGTAAACTAATTCATCATATATCACTGTTTTGTTAAAATAAACATTATTTTTCTTTTTCATAATCAGTATAGTCTCTAATTGTATAGAAACAATATGTAGCAGAAAATATTTTACTTTTAACTTCAATTTGTGAACCGACTTCAATTGTTTAATGTAATTTGGCAGTGCGTACGAGATCTCTTTTATTAACCCCATTACTCTCAAATTCTTCACAATATGGCTTTTATCTCTTTCAAACAAGATACTAATTAAGTCCGAATGTGCAATAACGAAGAACAAGGTATTTTCGAAAAAGGATAGAAACAACGTACCACGATGTGTAACTCTCTGTCAGAGGCACTGCAGTGACACCAGTTGCCCTGAGCCACCCCTCCCGGTTCGTCTCCACCCACGGACCCTGACAAGGCGTTGTCGTTGCAGAGGCGGTGGAGGTGCGCGCGCCGCTGGAGGCGTTCTGGAGCGAGGCGCTGGGGCGGGCGCTGCTGGGGCGGCGCTCGCGCGCCCTGGCCGACGCCCGCGACGCCCTCCACCGGCAGCGCCGCGCGCTGCTCGCCGCCGCCGCCCCCGCGCCGCGGGCGCTGCTGCTGGCGCGCTGCCCGGCGCTCGCGCAGGTGCGCCACGCCGCCAGCAACTCGCGGTTACGTCTTTGCTACGGAACGTATTTCTATGAGTTTGCGAATTTTTATTCGTTCCTCCATAGCTAAGCGAAATTTCTTGAAATTTTGGTTAGAATTGGGGGCTTTGCAGGTTAATTTGTTAGTGCATATTAGACAGATTTTGCTTGTTGGGTAAATTAGTGTGATTATATGCGCATATTTTGCATATTTCGTTAAAATAAACGCATCTCTAAAACGTTTCATTTTGTTCATATAATATATTTATTCGTGAGCGTACATTGATTACAAAGAGCTTGTTACCGCTTGCGTTGTTTGTTTCTAAATATGATAAAATACTCGTGCAAATGAAAAAAGTTATTGATATAATATTTTTAAGCCAGACATAAGAAATACAACAAACAACGTACTTTACTAATGTGAATATTTACTTCAATTATTACTCCCGAGAAATAAGGTAAATTATATTAGGTTTGCAGAAAAATATGTTTCCATTCCAAACATGCTTCCCCTGAATTTAAACAAAAAAGGTTTATTCAGGAAAGGGAATAGTGATATTTTTTGGTGCATATTAAAGTGCTTGTTTCAGAATTTTAGGTTTTAAATGTATATTTTTAAGATCGTAGGTCAAGTTTTTTGGGGCATAAAAATATATCCCTAGAGATTACCGGGTCGGAGTACCGGCGTCAAAGACCATGCTACTGCTGACAACAACACTGCACATTGTATCCATCTGCTCAATTTGTCAATGTGTTCGTTTGCAATTAGGACAATTGTAAATGGTTTGACACTACTTCTTGCAATGCCATCATCCGACACGACGTTCTTTAGTTTCGCGTCCTGTCAAACTGGTCTCTTTTAGAATAACTTCTCTATACGACGGTAGACACGAACTACGGGGCGCAAGGATAGAGGCGCTATTGTAGTCAATGTTCACCGACATTACACGCTAGAAATTCAACTGTATCGTTGGAAAGACGAAATATTCAGAACAGACCAGCGCGGAAGATCCGCAGCCTACGCGTAATGGCCGCAGTGGAAATTAAATTTCGCGTCACTTGTTGCCTTGTGAGCACGTTCAGACCTGTGCGGCCAGCCAGTATCACGGCAGTGGATTGGGAGAGTTTCTTTTCTTGAGGATTTTGAAACGCAGCCAGACCCGCTGCGACCGCTGCTGCTCCAAGCTCCACTTTCGTGGACGTCCGGCCCGCCTTCAAGATTTTTCGCTCCCCTCCGGGTCGAGTTCCCTTTCCCCTATTTATTGGATGAGGAAAATTGTCTCCAAACGCTGATCCATTCATTATTGACACTCCGGTGTAAATGACCCCGCGGATTTTGGCGCCGCGTCTAGCGGAGAACTTTCCGAGCCGCACCTGATGCGGATTTGCCGTGTCGGTCTGTGGGAGCCTAAGAAAACTGTCTGTGTAATAAGCAAACATTAGAGCCGCTTTTCCTTGCGTCCCACCCCAGCCCACGAACGAGATCACGTGGTACTTCAATAATGACGACTGCAATCTGTCATTTATAGACCACGCAAAAAGTTCATGTATAGAATAGGTTACTGTAAGCGTCCTAATCAATTTATATAGAAGTTAAGAAGCCTGCTCGGAACTGACTCTCACACCACAGAAGCACATACAACATATCTTATATTTACCTTTGCAAACACTTCTTCATACTCATTACACATGTCTGTGAAATTGGTCGTTTGCACCGAGAGTATACTATGACCAACAAACTTAAGTACGATAAGTACCAGTTTCCATGCATGGGTGTAGAAAATATAATTTGGCTAATAGTTTTCCCCCTCTGTAATTATAATATAATAATAATAATAATAATAATAATAATAATAATAATAATAATAATAATAATAATAATATAATGATAAATTTATACAAAAGAACCATTTTTGGTTATGCAAAGTCTTATTGGGGGAAATCAAGAAGCGTTCTCACATCTAAAAAAATATCTTCCACAAAAAGTGTACTTCAGTTAAACTAAGATAAACTAAATCTAATTGGATTTAATTTTAACATAATTAGTATATAAATTGAGTATTTGATTTCATTTTATATTTCTAGTTGTTGCGGATACACCCAGTGCCACCATCAGTTGAGAAGTACTTTTTGGAACTCGCTGATCAAACTGCAACAGACGTTATCCAATCTGCATCGACGGAGAAAGGTGACATCCGCCAGTGTACTGAAAGCAACCCCGAAGAGTTGATCAAGAGAACATCGGCTTTATGGTATATGATCAGCACCTACCTTTTCGGTGAGTACCACCACACATTCAATTGTATACTTTTTCTTCTGTCATAGCACTTCAGTCTAAATATTGCTTTAGTGTGCTTATCTATTGAATATGTAATAACAGTCATTACAATACATTTGCACTCTTTGGATGAATACGTTTGTTCAGTAAGTGTTCTGAAAATATATAACTTACATTTTTTTGTATAACGTACTTTTAACATATATTGAAATATTATTTCGCTCAGATGTGGATATTCAAGATGTCGACAAGGAATCGAGATCTCGAAGAGACAAAACAGAAGCAGCTCAGCCCACTACGATGCAGCTTTCCCCTGAGATGGCAAATCAGGGCAAAAGTCGACCGGCTAGGAAGAGTGTGACTTTTGCCCCTGATACGGAACTGATTGTAAGCACAGACGCAGCAACGCCGTCATCACCTTCCAATGCTCCAAATGAACATCCGGGTCTACAAATACCGATTCTCAACGTCCCATATGCTAGTGCAGATGATACAAAGGTTGATGAGAAAAATCTTACTTCGAGCACAGCCGTGACAACACCTGGTGAAGAAACTAATACTATTAAAATTGAGACTACGCCGACCCAAAAGACTAATAACTTTGAAAAAACACTGTCGGCTAATACGTCTACAAAAGAAATACCCGCAACTGATGAGGATATCGTCAAATCAAACGTTGCAGTGACTGAAAGTAACTCTCAGATCAGAGATCTCACAATTCCAGTGGTTGTCATCAGTACGGCGGATGTGCAAGAAACTGTTGTCGAATCTACGGAGACCGTCAATAGCTTGCACGTAAAAAACGAAAATCAAGAGCAAACAGAATCAGGAACTTCCCATGTTTCATCGTCAACTTCGGATCAATCACTTTCTAAAGAAACTATCGAAACCATTGCACACTCTGCTTTAATAAATCATGGCAATACTCCTTTGTCTTGTCCCGAGACAGCAAAAGAAGCAGATACCATAGACCTCGTTCAAAATCCGATGATTCTCAATAACAAAGCAGATGCTGGACCTTCTTCAACAATGCCTACCAATTTTACTCAGAAAGCCAGTTTGCATCTACATGAAAAAGGAAATTTATTTGCAGGAAACATACATGACACGGACGACGCATCGAAAGTACCAGAAGTGTCGAAAAGTAGTGAATTGTCGGACTGTAAAAATCAGGAACAGGGGGACTTGTCGGAGTCACCAAATGTGGTACCCCCAATGAACGAAAATTTACAAAACGACTCAAAAGAAACTGCGGCAGAACCGTCGCAGTTATCACAGGTGGCACCTGAATCTGTGTTAGACTCGAAAGAAGAGCCCACAACGCAAGAGGGTTGCACAGTCGACCAGGCGCCGATGACGGAGCAGGGGAGTGAAAGGGAAAAACAAGAGCATGAAAAACACTTGGAAGTGGGATGCGAGAAGAAGGTATCGGCGGAGATTCCGGAAAAAGAACAGAACGCAAAAGCGAAAATGTCAGAAGAAAAGGAGACGAATCAGCCCCCATTGACGCTCCAGGAGTCACAGATGGCGGACGCATCGATAGAAGGAGAGAGGCAGAAGGTAAGAGACTGGGGCATGAAGGAATAGCCGTAAGGGGATTGGGTGTTCTGAACGTGTATTACAGCTCTATTCGAGAATAATTGGAATAGAACCACAAATTAATTATTTCTTAACTAGCCTTTAATTTTCCTACTTTCTGACATTTTAAAACTATTTGTTAGTTGGTAAAATAGCTGTTTAATGTAATAATTATACCATCTTGATGCCGATATGAAACAAAAATATAACGTGGTTGAAGTGTGAAAACAGAAACATTATCCAAGCTAACCATCTGCCAAACTATACATTGCATGTATAGTACAGCACTTTAAATATATTTTTTGCTTCACCTTAATTTTTTTGCCAACAGCACTCCTTTTCTTCAAAATGAAAAGATAAATACATTATCATTCATTACTGTAATAACTGCTGTAAAGTACGCGTTTTCAGCGGAGAAATGCCGATCTAGTTTAATCATGCTACAACCAACCATCAGTATTTGATTTTCATTCAACGCACAGAGATTAGAAAATAGAAGTTTAAATGCAACTTATTTTTTAAGTTTGGTCCCAAGGAATTCCTGATGTTGCTTCCCATCGAAAACTCTTAGAGAGATAGTACATCTAATTTTTATTAAATATTTAATGCTTGAACTTATTAAGTTACCTGTAATAAAGTCTAAGTTGTTTGTGGAGCGCTCAAAAAGTGCAATATTTTACATATTATATAGAACACAACTGAGAGTGTAGAGATGCCAGTGGTTACAAATACACAGTAATATTTCTAATGCTATCCGCTAAAGGGCTCTTAAAATGTTGAAAATTAAATCCATGTGTTAGACATAGACCAATTTGTTACGATTATTTCTTGTAACTGTCTCAATAATCAAAGCCCATATGCCGTGCACCTATGTAGACCGCAACGAGCTAGAATATAGTATTACATAGAGTGGCTGTCCCTATAGTTTCAGCGCTCTTGGTGGAGGTTCAGTGAACTAGTGGTCGCTATGTTTTTTGATGTCAAAACATACGAGTGGGGCTGTAACCGTCCGTAACTAGCGTCTAACGTAATACTAGATTACTTTGTTTCCCAGAGAGCGCTGCTTTGACTGCAAAAAAACTTGTCTTCAATTTGCTTCAAAGAGGGAGGCGCATCAGCCACTCTATGTAGTACATTTTAGCTCGCTGGTAAAACTCCTCAAATCGTGGTGATAGTAAGATGGCGTCACGTGCCGTTTCTTGGCTTCAGTGCTACCCTAACTTCCAGCACAGGCTTTTTTGTCAATAACTAAATCGGCTTTTGTGTTGCACTACGCCCTCAGAATATCAGAGCTGAGTGGTTGACTTCTTTGTCCAATAGTGACGACATGTCAAGCTAATTGTTTTAACGTTGCAGGGGCTTCGTTGGTTTGAAAGGCTTAATAATTTTCGTTAAACAAAAGCCGTCTCAAGCATTGAGGAAGGACTCGATACGAAGTTCCTTCCTCAATACTTTCATCCGTTTCCGAAACGGAGGGCGCGCTCTGAGCCGTACAACTTTGTTCTGTGCTATCTAAAGTACTTCTGTGCTGTGACCAGCACAGGCATTGCCAATCTATGTACTATACGTGTGCGGCGGGGCATGCGCTGACCTTGCGGGCAGGGGGCGCGCGCGGCGGCGGCGGAGGCGGGCGCGCAGCTGTCGCCAGGCGCGAGGCGCGGCCCCGGCCTGGCGGTGCGCTGCGCTCGCTGTGGCGCCACCGAATGCAGCCGTCGCCCTGGGCCGACGCCCGCGACGCCTGGGGCGCTGTGGCCCGACGACGCGAACGCCGCGCAACGCCCTCACGCGCGCCTGCTCGACGGACTGCCCGCCCTACCTCACGCGTCTCCTCGCAGGTACGGCCGCTCCTCCTCGCCTGCCTGCAACGAAAACGCATATTGGGCTCTATGCAACAGGTTTATGGACATTTTATAAAACGAGCTTTTTTAAAAACTTTGTGTTCAATTGTCGCGCTTTTCTTTGATACTCTATGGGGATAGGGAAGGGAGAAAGGAGGAGGTTGCTGGGCTACGTCATAAGTGATGCAACTCATCAGCTCAACACAGCTCAGCTTAATAACGAATCTTGAACAGAAAGCTGGACTTCCTCTAAAAGCAAGAAGAATATTTTTTTATGAAGAAACGATTTTTCAGAATGCGGTTCGTCCCAAGTCTTTGTAGATGATGGAGTAAATATATATTCGTGCTTAATAGGATATTTTTTAAATTGTTTGCAGATATAGATACAAATTTAAATGACGTATACATGTTTCTTTCACCATTCTAAAGTAATACAAGAGGAGGAAATACAATATAAGTTTATAATATTTGGAAAGAAACTGAAAACCATCTACATTTCCTAAAGAAGCCACGATTATCTTATGAAAGCTTTTCCCGAATGTGAAATGTAGTCCTCCCAGAATTTCTCTCTCAAAACCTCTCTCTCGCTCTTTCTCTTTCTCCTCTCTATTCTACTTTCTCTCTCTTCCAATACAATAAATTAAAGTCGTAACGAAGCGCCCCGAGTCGTGACAGGTCCCCAATCTCCGTCCAGTTGTACCCTGTAATTGACACTATGGTTTTAAATCTAGGGTAATATGCATGTGAGATCGCTAAGCCAGTAGAGTCGTGGCAATCTGGTCGGCGGATTCGCGTTCGAATCCACCTTGCGTGATGTATTCGATCATCCATCCAGTCTTAAAGAAGATTAATAATACCCTCCCGCAAAGCAGAAGACCCCTGTCCTTAATGGGAATGTGCAGTTGGTAATAAAAAAAAAATATAGTTGTACACGCCCCATTATGAGAGACAAATTCGATTTAAACATAGGTCTGTTGACGTAAATCACGCTATCAATGTCGTCCCAACGGAGCTTGGATGACGCCGCAAGTTCCCACCAAACGTCAAAGAGCTCTATTAAATAAACCGGAAGCACAGTCCCGGCGCGGCGCGAGGTTGCAGCACGCTTGTGTTGCAGTGCCGCTGGTGTCAGAGACGCTGCGCGCGGTGCACCCGCCGTGCCCAGCTGGTGACGCCGGGCCTGCCGCGCCGCCCCCGCGGGGCGGGGCGCCTGCCGCGCTAGGGCGCCGCGCCGGCGCGGAGGTGGCGTGGGGCGCGCGACCCGCTCTGGTGCCGGTGGCCGCCTTGCACGACGCCCGCCACTGCGCGACCCCGACGCCTTCCCGCCGAGCGCTTTCCTGGGCGAGGCCACCCGCCCCCGCTACGCGACCCACGCCCCTTCCTGCCTTCGCCTGGCAGCGACGCCTGCGCCGCGTCAGCTTTCCAACGCACCACGCTCGCGCCGCTTTCGGAGTGCTTCGCCCTACAAGCACGCTCGCAAGCGCGCTCCTGGCAACACAGTTGCGGCGGTCCTGATGAACAACCGTCCCACCCGAAACGGTTTCCACCCTCAGCTCATTTCGTGGTGTCGGGTTAGCAACAACCTGTCAACCGGCTGAACTCCCTTGATTCAGTGATCCAAACCCTACGCTCTATTAAGATGTTCCACTTAGACGATTTCCACCCTCAGCTCTTTCGCGGTGTTGGTAGCAATAACCTTCCAACCGGGCTTGATCATGAATGTCCTGAACGCCCGTGATTCAGAGATCCAAATCCTACGTCAGGAAACGTCACTATTTTGCGAGGACAAAATATCGACTATTGTAAGTATTAAAGTTCAAATGAAGATGTATGAAACCCTTCTGTATAGAACATATTCTTGTAAGCTCCTTTGCTTAGAATATCCGATACTGTTTCTTCCCAAAACACTGACGTTTCCTATTAAGGCGCCTAGCAATACTTCACCCCCCCCCTTCCCCAAGGCCCTCCATCATTGCGTGTGTTGACCGGTGCGCAGGTCGGGAGCTGGTGCTGCAGTACGCCAAGCTGGCGCTGATGGCGGTGCTGGCGCGGCTGGAGGTGGAGGCGGAGGCGGGCGGCGCGCGGGGCCCGCGGGAGGCGCGGTGGCGCGTGGCGATGGAGCTGGAGGGCGGCGTGCGCCTCAAGCTGCGTCCGCGCGCCCTCGCCCACCCGCCACACGCCTAGCCTCGACCCACGCCACGCCCTCTTCGTCCTACGGCAACGCCACCGGCGACGTCTTCGCAGTGACGTCCGTTGGCATTTGATCGGCTGTTACGGTGTCGTCCAATCGGAACCTTAAACGTCACTACTGTACGTCTGATCCATGCTCCTAATTGGATGACACCTAAACAGCTGATTAACGTCATCGGACTTTATGTTTAAATCGAAGTAGAGTGTGGGGTCGCTGGACTTCCTAACTCTCCATCCTGTCAACGTTTCATGAGGAGTCGATTTACATGCTTCCTTTATACGAAGGTTCCAGAGTGGCGAACGATTCAGAAGTTTCCCATGCACACGTGCCCTGAAACGATCCCACTCTGCCACGCACGTGTTCGCTAAACCTTCTGAATCGTTCATGAAAAGGAAATTTTGATTTACAGGTTCTCTATAAAATATTAGTAGAAACTATAAATCAAATATGCAATCAACAAAAACTTCGAAACTAACAATTACTTCAATTGATTTTACAAATGTCAAAATAATATTTAGTGTTGGAATTGAAAGCAAAAATGATATTTTGTCTATTCAGATTTAGTGCTGAACCGTAACATACGCAAGAAAATTGTGGGCTATGCTGTATAATTTACGCAAATATTATTATAAAGTATTGGTTCGATAAAATTCTTTCCAAAGTATTTCTTAATTATTTCCAACTGAGTGACAATATAACAAATAATATTCCTTGCTTATAATAGAGACAATTAACGTCAATTCAAATGTGAGTATAATGTATTATAGTTTAATTAAAAATTAATACAACATATCGTCCCAAAACCTACCTTATCTTTATTTCTCAAACAATTCATTCGATCTGTGGTGGTTGAATCATTAATACAAAAACAGGAATGGAAAGTTAGTCCACGCTGTACCACATATACGCCGCACCTCATATACGCCGTACCACATCGCTAAGATAGTAGTGCAGTAGCGATCTCGGACGAAAGGATCGCGGGTTCGAGTCCCGCTTCGAGCATGGGTGTGTTTGTGTATGTCTTCGTGTTATCCTTCCGTGTCGTGTTCCCCGTATAGTTGACCCAAATGAAAATATAATCAAATACATGACCTGGTTAATAAAGTGACCTACACAAAGTTAGTCCATCAGGGAAAACCACATTTCTTCCTAACTTGCATCATCTCTTCACCACGAAGTAATGACAAGTATATCATATAAACTAGTACTGCATCAGCAATATAGTTTGCAATATGCCATCGCAGATTACTGGAGCAAGCTCAGTAATTCTACCCCAGCTCAGTAATTAGTTCGTGTACTAGAGCTAACAAGTGGAGAAAATTGGAAGCTTCCTTAATGAAAATCGCTAGATTATTAGCCACAAAAGGAAACAACCTTATACATTACTAACAGCTAGGGATACATAGAACAAACCAACCAAACATTCACAGAAAGATTGAAACACTACGCTACCAGTCTCACACTTCATTGATCACTTAAATTTAAACAAACACACATTCGACCAACACGTTAATTATAGAAATTGAGAATAGGTACTCGTACAGAAGAAAGTCCTTCTTATACATAACCAGCTGCAAAACCAGAACATGACTTGTCTTAACCAGCAAATCCCTGAACTCACATTACTTCTGCTAAAATTGGCAAAAACTTTTTTTAAATTCAATTAATTCTTTGAAGTTACAACGTTCAGTTCACAAGAAAAACGTGGCAATTGTGTGATGACTTAATCTAATTAACTTAATCTAGGTTAAAATTGTACTTATCTAACATTAATATAGGGAGAGGAAACAAAAAGGCACCTCCGGAGAATTATCCAATATTAGCCAAATCTGTACACTTACTCCACCCGTATTCACCAGCCCGTCTCCTCCTCACGCCTCCACCAGCATCCTCGCCTGCCGCGCCCCCTCCTTCCCCAGCCCCATTCGTTTCCGACCGACCTTATGTCCTCTTAAAAGAGTCACACGACAAAATAAACAGCAGAACTTTGTTTTTCTCCCGGGCGCTGCAAGGTACGATCCAGTTTGCTTACGCATCAGGCTTACTCGAACTATGTTAACATTTTGAGAATAACTTTTATAAATAATGTGTATAATTTTTATTTCATGGATTCCTGTAATTTTTCAGATAGCTCCTATGATGGTAGCTACGCTATTGAAAAGATTAAGCTTACGTATACAGCGGACAACACCTTTTATTTATTTAACTGAGTTCTATAATGAACCCTTCACATTTCTTATTAACACTTATGAATTTATCCACTATGACAGGGAATTACAACAACACGTAAAAATTATACTCGTAATAAGCACGCATATTAATCTCAGTAATAAGTGAAGCGACGTTGGGAGCGGATGATCGCAAGGATTGGCGAGCATCTAAGTGCCGCACGCTGCATTGGCGGAACGGAATGAGGCGAGCCGGTGCGAGGCGAAGTGATGCGGTATGGGAAGACATGGAGCGAGGCGAGGAAACGCGGGGCTAGAAATAGCAAGGCAGAGTGAGGAGGAGGGATCCAAGTGGGAAAGAGAGGGAATGGGCGCGAGGAGATTCAATGGCGATGGGGGAGATGGAGGAAGCGAAAGCACAGGGTGGAGAGGAAAGAAGCGAGGTGAGAGGTGCGAATTGATTGATGATTTATTACTAGTGATTCCGAGTAAAATGTCATTAGCCTCGTATGTAGTGCATGATTTTGCTCTTGTGCGGAGGATCTTGCCTCGTTCGATGATGAGATTCGATGATGAGATCCGACGCCGAGTTACCGTCGGTGTTTTCCCCTACCAGATATCTCCCAACAGCGGGACAAGCTCGAAGATCCCGACCGGTCTCCCGGCCCGTGGGTTAGTGTGGTGCGTGTCAGTGGGTGCGTAAACGATGAGGAAAGGACAAGGAATGGGAAGGAAAGATCGCGCGAAGTTCGTAGTCCGCTTGCAAGGGTACTGCTTCGGCATTCATCGGAAAAACAACGGAAAACGTCCAATCATAGCAGACGGCCGCTAGAATTCTTCTCTAGACAGCGACAGAACTCGATCTCTCTCTAGACTAGTCTAGACATGTGGTAAGTATCGAAATGCCTGCCACCGCCGGGACTCGAACCTCAGGCCCTCCCGGTCAGAGGCACTGCAGTGACATGAGTTGATGGCCCGAGCTCTCCTGAGGAAGCGGAGCGGGCCAACGCGGGCGCGGCGCGGCGCGGCGCGGCGCGGCCGGCAGGGCCGAGGGGAGGGGGAGAATCGGTCGCAGCAGAGCGCAGCGACGCGAGGAGAGGCGATCGGGATGGGCGAGGGCGTGGCGGCGGAAGGGAGGGGAGGAGTCCGCGGCGCGAACTGTTGGCAACGGCCTCCAGTCGCTGTAGTCAGTGGGCAAGCGGAGGCGGCGCTCTGCAAGTGAGCCCGCAGAGCCACCCACGTAAGTAGTAATCACCTTAATTACTTATATATTCATTTTGCGGCTCTCACACCCAACCATTCTGATTCACCGAAAGAAATAATTTGGGGAGTTGTACCTAAGCTTTATTAATTTATAGTATTTTAAAAAATGCTTAAACGCATGGGCAAATGCAATGTCGCAGGTCCCGCTTAACTGCCTGTTTCTTGATATCCACCATGTATAGCTCAAAAAGTTATGTTCAGTTTCTTATGACTTTAATGTTTGATTTTAAGGTCTCAGGACGCTAGCTCCGTTTTTTAATTCTCATAATCTTTTGGGACATCCCATTTCATTTTTGGAAGTTTCGCTCTTCTGAATAAGATTAGGACGTGCACCATCTCCAACTCCGCTTACGTGTCGCTAACACTTTTTCCCTTCTTTCCTGTTCTTCAGAACGAAGACGGCAGTCGTGGGTTCAAAACAGGTTCAGATCGCGAAAATGCCAAATGACAGAATAGGCTGGCAATTTTTCGCCTGTTATGCACGTACGTCGAGTGTCCCAGGCTGCGGACGGGCTACAGAGTCGTAAAAACTACACAGCCATTCAACATAAATAATATAAATTGTGACTTATGTAAAGAGATTTTAATGACCTAATAAAAATATTTCAAAGGGTTAAATGTTTCTGGAAACTCATACGCATTAAGTTATTAATACCTACAAAAATGTTAAAGTATGATTTGTGGCAATCATCGATTATCTAAAGTCAACGGTATACATTCGAGATATGTGTAGATTTGGGGCCAAGAATGAACTAAAGAAATGTAAATGCTAATATTAAACTAACAAACAATGGAATCTATCATAAGCATTGTCATGTAAGGTATTCCAATGAGCCACTCACAGGCCTCCAATGTGCCTCTCGCAACCTCCAATCCGCCACCCCACTACCCTCCTGGCGACCCTTCAATGAGACACTCGCAATCCTCCAATGTGCCACTCGCAACCCTCCAATGCACCACTCGCAAACCTCCAATGCGCCACTCGACAACCCTCTAATACGCCACTTACGACTCTCCAATGCGCTACTCGAGACCCTTCAATGTGTTACGTTTGGCCATCGCTCGGTGATCTCTGACATAATCGCTCCGCCTCAGGTATGGCGTGCTGGATGTGGCGCGTGTTGGGCGCTCTGGGGCACGCCTCATGGGTGGAGTGGTGGCTGCTGGGCGGAGGCGCGCTTCTCCTCTTCCTGTACTGGCTGGGCACCCGGTCGTACGACCACTTCCGGCGGCGGGGCATGCCCTTCGCGCGGCCGCTGCCCTTCGTGGGCAGCATGGCGCCCGTGCTGCTGGGCCGTCTGTCCATGGCCGACTGGGCGCTTCACCTGTACAGCGCCCACAGCCACCTGCCGGCCAGCGGCTTCTTCCAGTTCGCGCGCCCCATGCTGCTGCTGCGAGACCCAGACCTCATCAGGGCGGTCACCGTCAAGGCATTCGACCACTTCGTGGACCACCAGCAGTTCAACACGGAGCGCGCGGAGCCCATGTTTGCGAGGATCCTCCTGGGGCTGACTGGTGCGCACTGCTCTGCCTGCTGACGGAATCGGTTTTTTTTTCTTCCCTTTGTTTAATCTGACCGTTAAACCACACAAGCATCAGCAGTGTGAATTTGAAATACAGATTTTTTAGTTTGCTTTTTTAGCTCGTGAACACGAAAGTATTTAAATTGTTAAAGAACCAATACAACGTATTTTTATAAAATAGAATAATAGTAAACAAACGTACAATTTTAAATATTGAATACACATTTCGATTATTACATGACGTACGACAAAAATGGGCAAATAAAAGTTATAATTTTATTTTTTTATTTCACCTAATATAATCAATTTAAAAACTTAAAAAATATTACTAATCGAACATGAAATTCTTTAATTCTTCTCTTTTCCAGAACTAGAATTACTCATTTTTAACTCACAACTACCAACAGAAAAAATGTCGAAATCCACAAACCTATTTTGTTAATAACTGTAGGTTATTTTCATTCCTAGTATATGTTGTTCTTTACTGGAAAACAATGTGTTTCTTCACCTGGTTAATAATTTCAGGCATGGCCAATTTGAAATGAAAATTAGATAAGTACATTGCGTTGAAACCTAAAAATGCAACTCGCGACGATACGGTCAACATACTTCAACAAGACACAAAGTGCTACTTCTTTACCAGTCACCAGAAAACAAACTTCAACATAAAATTTGATACAGAGTATTTTAATATTGTTTTAAAGTGATAGTAAAATTGAGCGAAAGTAATATCATTTTATTTGCAGTGTCCTTATACTTTCAATTTTAATTTCTTCCATAGTCGGCCAACTGAATTCTTCGTCCACTTTCGGCAGGTCAGGAATGGCGAGACATGCGAGCCACATTGAGTCCAGCCTTCACTACCAGTAAGATGCGTAATATCTTCTCTCTAATTAATCTCTGCGCTGAACAGATGGTGAGCTTCTTGAAGAAGACAACCACAGACAGTCCCAGTAAGTAATCGGTGAAAATTAGAATTTTAGTTCCCATTTGACTTTAGAACTTCTTGAAAATCCTTTGATGCTTTTTATGGAATAACTTCTTACTTTTCTGACACGTGGAGCTGTAGAAAAAGTAGTAGAATCGCGAGTCCATCGTAAATAAATAATTAAATTGAACATTAATTAATAATTAAATAAATATGAAATACCCAACTATTCCGTAGATGGTGTGTTCGAGGTGGAGATGAAGGACTTCTGTTCGAGACTCACCAATGACATCATCGCGAGTAGTGCTTTCGGGATAGAATGCGATTCCCTGCGGCAGCCAGATAATGAATTCTACCGGATGGGTCGCGACCTTACCAACATTAAGGGGATCAAGATCCTGATCTTATTTGGCCACATTCTGTGCCCCAAGATCATGGAGGTGAGATGCAAATTATTTATTTTAGTTTTTTTCCATAGGATCTAAGCCCACTTTTAGAATAAGATTCGAACCGACGAAAGTCATGAATATTCCCTAGACAGGACATACAATGCTTGAGCTAAATCGACATCTAGCTTTTTGGAATTCGAAAACTTGCTTGTTTAATTAGGGTGCTTATTACTATTAAATGAATAATATTCGCAAATTTGTGCAAAAAAATGAATTGACTAGAAAACAAGGAGTTAATAGAGTCGTTCATTAGTTAATTTAAATAGGAAGATTATCCTGACAAAACGAAGACTCAGAAGGATACGAAACACTGTCTCATGATAAAATACACTGTCTACATTACCATGTTGGAATCTCTTTGCCACACTATAAAGTAAAATGTGTGTTACTTAAGATGCGCGTCGTTTTCTCCTTTCCCTCAGGGTCTTTGCTTCAGTACCTAGAAGAGGTTTTCCTTTCGCAGCGCCGAAGTATTAGTGGTCTTTGTTGGTGTGCATCGGAAGTTTGGTCACCATGAGGTGCGGCATTTTTCTTCACTATCGGAAATACACTTACGATTTCGCTTGAACAGAATAACACACACGATTGATCACATCGAGATCCAACTGACTTTCATAGGTTCGAAGGCAATTTTGAATCACACTGGAAAATAAACCCTGTTAAAACACATACAGCAACAATGTATCTTCGTTTTACTTACTAAAGTTCTGTTCGAAATGCTTATTCCAAGCGTACGTCTCATTTCGGAAATGTAAAATATTTGGTATTTCAGTTTTTTGGAATCCGCTTGAACAGTAATAAAGTGCAAGACTTTTTCCACAACACCGTGCACGCAACAATCAACGAACGGCAGAAAAAGGGGATATTTCGGCCAGATATGCTGCAGCAACTCATGCAGGCGCGCGAAGGAATTCTCAAAGCGGAAGCAGGAGATGAACCGGAAAGCATCAAGGGCGCTAAACTAAAAAGTGAGTACACGTTAAATACTTGTGTGGTTATTACTTACAAGGTACTTACAAGTATATTCAAACATTTTAATATAGTTATTTCTTTAAAAGAAATTATATATACATTTAAAGTAAGATAAGTTTTATCTAACTGCAACTGAAATAATATTCTGTCAGTACAAGAAAGTTAAATACTAATATTTATAATTTTGTAATTGTCAAGACAGTACTACTTTGCACGGCTCCACTCATCACACTTCTGCACTGACTGCCTCAAATTACCGCGCCCTTCACAACCATTTTCTTAACTGTACGACATTATTTGCATTTAATGAAAAAATAATAGCACGGACAGTAATTATCAAACTGTAGGAATAGGTCCAACTATTTAAATTACTTGAATTTTCATATAACTTCATTTTTTAACAATGGTTCATTCGTTATTATTTAATTACTTCAAATTTATTTCTAAAATTATGTACGTTACGAAAATCAGTTTTAAATAGTGCTGCAAGCTAACTGTCGTTCTATTAATAATTTCAATTCACGAGGATATTTTGATTTGGTATTTTGATTACACCAAGCCTCAAAAACATTTTCAAAATTTTCTCAAAAATGGTACCAAATATTTTGATTAAATATAGTACATGGATAAAATAAGGTAGGCTTAAGAGAATGGTGTTTCATGTTTTTTAAAATCTCTGATTTTCTGAAAATTGCAAAATTGCAATATTGGGGGGGGGGCATCTTCCTACATCTGTAGAATTTAAGATAGGAATTTTCTTCCGTAATTAAATCTATTCCTTAAAGGCAGATCTTGAAATAAGGTCACGTACACATTTTCGAAAATATCAGTAGTTTTTGCGTAATTGTGCGCAAAAGGCAAATTTTAAAATATTACATTTTTTTCTCTCTAAAATAGCACCAATATTTTTCTTCAATTTTTTTCCACGGGCAGAAGAAAGGACGATTTAAAGAATTGCGAGAGTATCACTTTCGTTGAACCCTCCTGGTTCCACCGATCAACATCAGGCGAATGCCGGAACAGTACCCTAAAAACGGTACAAAGATCGCGCGCAATCTTTCCCTCCCATTCCTTGTCCTATCCTCATCCTTTAGTTACACACTCTTACACTAACATTCACTTATCACGTATCGAGAGACCAATCGGGAGCTTAGTGCTTGTCTCGACTGCGGTGGGAGATAACTGGATGGGGAAAACCCCGCAAGCCGACGTGTGGGTCGGTGACGGATCTCGCCAGCCAATGAGGGAAGATCACCACCCCCTCCCGCGATGAAATCAAGCAATACACTTACGGGACTAATCACCGTATCAGTTGACGCACCCAGAAATTCTAATTCATCAATCAATCGAATGTCTCCTGTGGTGGTAATGGATTTCGTGCGGCAGCGCTTTCTGACGTGGACATCACCGCGCAGTCCATCATTTTCTTCTTCGCGGGCTTCCACACGGTGGCGATGACCATCAGCTTCTGTTCCTACGCCTTCGCCCAGCACCCCGACATCCAGGAGCGGGCGCAACGGGAAGTGGACCAAGTCTTCGACAAGTACAGCGATACGATGTCGTACGACGCCGCTCAGGAGCTCAGATATACCGAAATGTTCATCAACGGTAAGTTTAAGGCGCATATTTATAGTACAAGTGACTTTCCTAATTCAGGCTTTAGAACACTTTTGCTCTCACTTTCGACACTTCCCACAAATTTACATGAGTGCAGTTGTACATTTTAAGCAGTTTTGGATTTATTTTATATTTTAAAGTTCATATATTCTGGTGTAGTACTTTAAAATGATATTTTTCTCTGAAGTCACTGGGGTAGAAGTAATTGATTGCCTCAGGAGAGACTATCTCAGTGACGATTGAAGAAATAGCAAAACAAAAGCAGGAATATAATATAACCTAACAGTTACATGTAATACGAAAAATAACGAACTGCTGTAGAATCATTTTTTTACTATATAATAAAATTTTGAATGAGGTTATGTTTGAATTGTGTGCGGAGAACAAGAGAATTGGAGGAGTTGCGGACAAGTTCCTGTGGTGCTGTTACGTTTCACGTGCATACGATGTCCTCTCTTGGCGATCATTAGATTAAAAAGAATTTGTTAAAGTACTGTTAACTAGTTTTCTAACGCCAATTTTGCCACCCTTCAGGAGTTTTTACCTCAGACATGCCTTATGGTCTCATTTAAGTGTCATTCATGCTATGTAGAAAGCATCTGGGGTGAATAATAGAATTTGCAAGGTAAGAATATCGTGGGGTGTAGGTTTTGTAATAGCTTAAGATGTTCAGAAGAGCCACATAGATTCAGAAAATGTAGTATATATTTGAAATAAAGGCCTACTAAATAAATAAGTAAATAAAAATAAGTAAATAAAAATAAGTAAATAAAAATAAATAAATAAAAATAAATGAATAATAAATAATTTAATTAATAAATTAAATGAAGTAATTCTGAGTAATTGATTCCGCGTGAGAACATACTGAGAACATATTGAGAACAACTGAGAACATATTATGCCAAGCAATGCAGTTGTATTGTTGCTCGGCAGAGGTGCTGCGGTTGTACCTGGCGGTCCCCGCGCTGGACCGGAGGTGCACGCAAGACTTCACTCTGCCGGCGCACGGGGACGCGCCCGCCTACACGGTGCGCAAGGGCGAAATTGTGTGGATCCCGGTGCACCCCCTGCACGTGGATCCCCAGCACTGGTAGGACCCGCACACCTTCGACCCCGAGCGCTTCAGCGACGAGAACAAGCGCAGGATAAAGCCCTTCACCTTCATCCCCTTCGGAGTGGGGCCACGCTCCTGCATAGGTGAGCTGTGGAACACTAACAATAGGATAGCTCTACTTGAACTTCTCCATCATCCCAACTTGCACCTTCAAATGTTTGAAATGAGATCCCTCGATTCTACTTTACCCACACGGAATTTCTCTCGGCATTCTGCCTTAGGAAGTTTGGGCTCAACAAGTATTCCTCTAAGAGAGAGAAAATCCTTCAATCCCCATTTTCAGTGAAACATGTTTTCGTGCGCTAACTAGCGAAGTTGTTATCAAAATAAAATATTTTTCTGCGTTCTCTAGAGAATGCTCGCAAACGACGCATTTTTACCCTTTCCAGTGAAGTCAGAATTATGATCAGTAAATAGATACAAATGCTTACTTCCAACTATTTTATTGTTGCCTCGTCTAAGAGAAATCATCTCCCAGGTTCTAGGTTCGCGCTCATGGAGGTGAAGGTGGTGTTGGCCAGTATCTTACGGCATTTCAAGTTCCTAGCGACGGACAAAACACCAAAGAAGCTAGAATACGCCACCAGAGACTTTGGTGGAGGCATCAAGGGAGGCTTTTGGGTGGGCATTGCCGATAGAGGACAATAGGCCCCCGAGATGACTCCGTGAATAAGTGTTCTTCTAATTATCTGTGTAAGTTTAGTAAGATTAAACAAAAATGTGAATTGATTTGTATTCAGGCAGTTAAAATAATATTACTGTATGAAATGTACCGAATTCTTTAATGCAATCAGTCCAATGTCTTAATTTGCCATTAATTTCAGGTCGCTTCTATCCCAGTTTTTAAAACAAACGCGATTCAAGAAGTAATGGACAGATGACATGATTATGTCTTTGTGTTTGAGCATACGTAACTACCGATTCACATGTGCTCGCCAAAAAGAATAAAGACGTGAATTAAGTGGATGGACAGTCACACTCATTATTTTATATTACAAGTATTTTCAATAGGTATTTTGTTGTATATGGTGGGTATTAGAATTTTAGGTTTTAAACATTCTGGATAATCATATTCCAGAAAAATGATCATAATTTTTATTATAATGCTTTGTTTTAATACTGTATGCTGGAATGGTTAAAAAATTCCACGATTACGTCCCACCGCCCTACCTCCCACCATCATCCTCCATCACCAACACCCTATCACTTCATTCAGCATTCCCTGCAAAAGGCAGGAGGCCCTTGCCCTCAATGGAACCTTAGTTGGCTAACAACAACAACAACAACAACAATAATAATAATAATAATAATAATAATAATAATAATAATAATAATAATATATCTAGTATTAAGGGTGTCAGAGAAAGCAACGAGAAACTACTCTAGTAATGAGCTCCCAAGAAAACCCAACATGTTGCACCTGCAGTTAAATACTGTAGAATCCATGTAGATGGAAAAGAAGAAGAATCCATCTATAAAAAATTTTAACATTTAAAAAAATTGTAAATAAACGTATATGAGTAGAATGTCTTATATTAATATGAATGCCATGTATTTTGTATGTTGTGTCTCTTGTACCGGTAAAAATAATCAACTAATATCTTGTAGAATCTGGATATAAAATTAAAAGATGTTGTTTTATGTGAATTCGTTTTTGCCAAATTTTTTTTCAGTTTAATTTATTTATTTTCATGTTCTTACTTTTAGATAAATAGTCCTATACCAGTGATGTCTGAAGTAAGACGAAGTATGTAATCTAATCTCGTCAGTTCTTCATAGCTTCGGACGGACAATCGTTTGGCCTTCAACAATTTTTTGGAATCAAGGACCCCCAAAATTTGGATTCTGTCTACACAACGTGTTGCAAAGATTAATTTACTACGTATAAAAAGAAGAATTATCAATTTTTTCGATATCAAGAACCTACAATACGAATTATTCTCTTTTACGGCAGCATTGAACTTTCTCTTCACTACGTAAGTACGCGGGGCGAAATGGTTAATACAGATAACATTCAAAACTAAATTTTATACAATATCAGGTAATAGTATTACCTGCGAGACAGGTAAAACGGAAGCAGCTCTTCCGCAGATTCCTAAGGTAATCACCACGCACACATCCGACCCTCTAGAACACACATTTTCATCGCATTTAATTAAGAAAACTTGCACCAGACTAATTTGTGCTTGATCAGGGGGCCCCCAAGTAATGTTCGTATCAGTGGCGCAGTTATGTTCCCGGAAACTCCGGCGCAGAAGGTTTAAATGGGGCCCCTGACAACGATGGGCTAACGTGAAATCAAGTTTCAGATCTAATTTATGAAAACTAGGTACGTATTACAATGTATATTACTATTAAGCACATAATTTAAATCATTTTCCATTTTATGCCATTGATTTACTCAATTTTGGGCCGCAATTCTGAAACTAAATTCATAAAATTTCCGTCAGTAAACTAAATGGAGTAGAAGAGGGAACAATGCAGATAGAATACATCTTGAGAAACACAACAATCCAAAAGTTGCCCGTATATTTCCTTTAGGTTATGCCAATTTTACAACGCGTGATGAGCAATCAAAAATTACCTTTTTTTAATAGGATCCGTGGCCGCGCGGTAGGTGTCGGACGAGTAGCACAACTGAATGCGATGGGCGTACATATGCACCAAAGCAGCGTTCACATGGAAGCTGGCTCAACAACTGGATTTCCAGCATATTTTATTGTTATTGCTATTAAGTGTTGTTTCCGGAAATAATTTTCCAGCATTCAATTGCAGCAATAACATCGAATAACCTTAATGAGATACCTTTAGCGTGTTATTCAACAGGAACTGCACCTTTATTGGCACATTTTTCGGGGGCCCTGACTGTCGGGGGACTTGATGCGGTGCACCAATCGCACCAGCCTAACTATGCTCCTGTTTCTTATACTGTAATTCACAAAATTATACTTTTTTATTGTCCTATTACATTTTTATGGCACTCCGTAGCATATTTTGGCAGAAATATTCGATGTTGGGTTCCTCTAATGTAATGCACAGTTCAGAAATGGAAGCCGTGCGTAGATGTGATCCAATAAGCAGATTTTTTATTTTTAAAATAATCATTTACAAACCACAGAACGTTCACACGGATCCAATTAATACACAATATTGAATAACTAGATCAGAAGGATATAATGAAGTGATTTGATTTAAGTATATATCTAAGAATATTAAAATTGAGAAGAATTAGAACAGTGAAACGAAAGAAAATATACCTATTACTAACAATATTTACAAAAAATTCTATAATACGCTAAAAATGAGAAAATATATTACTGTTTCTATTTATTCAGTTCGAGAACAGCTGTATCGAGATCACACCACGAAATCACCGGGACTGTGGACACATGAGACAAATCGCTTGAAAATATTAATACTCAACAGTTTTTGTTTCTGAGTAGATACTGTTGTATGGGCACAAAATTGATTTTTTTAGGAATCAAAAGTAAAAATATCCCACAAGGATATATTATATGAGACAATGGGTGATATAAATAAAAATGAGTAAGTACTGCAAAACATTTGCTCACATGTATGAAGTACTATTTCTCAAAAGCAATGGCTTCCTTTCATATGAATAAACAGTTTCGGAAAACTTTGAGCATTTACTTCTCTCTCTGATTAATTGCTCACTAATTGATCTGTTGCGATTGGTCGATTTTCGTCTGTTTTATCTACTGTTACTGCGCCAAACGTGCTTGTTCCTGATGGTGTCGACCGTATTAGGTTTAGTGATGTACTATTTACTCTTTAGTAAATTATCACAATGAGAAATTTTTCAACTCCTTAGACGATTTACAACAAACACCCACTTTTAATTTACATACCAATTTCCTCAACGAATAATTTCAAGATTTTCGAAAGATAAATTATATCCCTCTAAATCACATAATATTCATTACCTCCCTCTCTCATTCATCTCAAATTTCTTAAAATATCTAATTAATTTTTTTAGTCAGTGATATCAATTTGTAATGTTAAAAACCCTGAAAGACATTCTTGTCGAACACAATAGAAGTACATTTTTAAAAAGGGGTTTAAGTGGTCCAGTTGACGTGCATTATTGGCGAAATTGTAGGAAATCTTTCATAATTTGATCACTCACTAACTAAAACCTCACAACCAGCTCACAACAGCGTATAACCTCTCTTCTATCCATTTAATACCATTTAAGTCACCTCCAGAGGTTGGTCCGAAAATTCGAAGTAAATCTTCGCATTAGAAGCAAATTCTCGACTTTATTCATACGAAAAGTGTTGCTCCTCGGTCGAGAAGTTACTCATCAATGGAGAAATTACTCAAAATAAGGGCAATTACTCAGTGTCTTAATTCATACTGTATGAAGCAATTGCTTTGAAAACTCAAGGAAGAAGTAATAGCTCATTTTTATTTATATCACCCAATATGTATAACATGTTCTAGAATAAATGTGATAGGTAAGTTAACTTATTTATATTTTTTTAGAAATGAAAGGTCAGTCACATAAATTATTTTGGAAAAAATAGTGAAGAATTTTCTGGGTACATAATCTTAGTTCACACATTTTGTACCTACAGCATTACCCTACATATTACAATCAAGAAAACTGAAAAAATGATGTATTACATTAGGGAAATTCAAAACAAAATTGAAAGAGTCCAATTCAAATTCAACAATTACATATTTGCAATATATTTTTATTCCAATTATCAGATTCTCTTAATGTAAAGGCAGCTAAAATCAAAACCAAAAGTTTGGATAAAATTATCTTACCTTGAGAAAGTAAATTCTAAAATAAGCGTACCTACGCCGTTTAATATTTCAACCCAGAAACCAAATTAAAACGACGGAAAACGAAAGCCCAACGGCACGTCTTAGACGGAGAAGCGCGACCCTGAAAAAATCTCACGCTTCCACCAGACCCTCTTCTTCGCATCAACGCTACGCCAACGCCCAGCCCGAGCGCCCACAAAAAATTCCGCCACTGAGCAGGCCTGTTACGTCAGAGCACGGCGCAGCGGCGGAGCGGCCAGACGACGCGCCGCGAGGCCATCGCAGACGCAAACAGCGCTCGCCCACACCTCTGCCCGATCCACGCAGCCCAGCCGCCAGAGGTGAGCAATGAGGGTTTGTGTAACTACGTAGAATTCATCCATTGAGATAGGTCACTCAGGGCATTAGCTGATGACACTGCAGTGCGTCTGACCGCGAGGTCCTACGGTTCGAGTCCCGGCGGTGGCAGGACTTTTGACAGTAGCTTCATAAGTAGATGGAATTCAGCCGCTGTCTGGAGGAGAATTCTAGCGACCGGCTGCTCAGGTCGGTACTTTTCGCGAATTTTCCTATCATCGCCACATGAATGCCGGAGTAGTACTCTCACAAACAGGCCAGAAATCGCGCACTATATTTCCTACTTCGTCCTTGTCCTTTCCTCACCCCTAACTTAGAAGCACACTTACTGGCACTACACTACCACACCCGTCAGGAGCTAAGAGGGTGGCTTCTGGCTAAGAGGGTGCCTCTCTGGCGGAGATACCTAGAGGAAGGAAATTTTCGCAAGTCGCCTTGCAGGGTGACGCTCGATGTCACGTTTCAGGGAGTGGGGCGAATACCACCTTCTTCCGGAATATAACATGCACTTATCTTACTGACCTAAGGAGTCTGTTGCTTTGAGAAAGCATTTTCATTTGAAAAGAATGCATTCTTTTCAGTTTAACCTAAAGATGCTGGAGTGGATTGCTGGCGTTGGCAGCGTGGTGGCGAAGGTCACGTGGGTGGACTGGACTGTCCTCGTGGGGGGCCTGGGCGCCCTCTTGTACTGGCTGACCACGTGGACACACGACCACTTCCGACGCCGAGGGATGCCCTACGCGCGCCCTCTGCCCTTATTCGGGAACTTGGGCCCTTTGGTCCTTGGGCGGAAGTCTCTTTTCGACCTGACGCTTCAGATCTACAAGGAATTCGAAGATCAACCCGCCTTCGGCTTCTTTCAGTTCATGAGACCTACACTGTTCATCAAAGACCCGGAACTCATCAAGTTGGTGGCGGTCAAATACTTTGATCATTTTACCGACCATCATGATATTCCATCGGAAAAGGTTGAACCTCTGCTTGCGAGAAATCTAATGGCATTAAAAGGTAAATATTTCCGTTTATTCTATCTACGTCACAATTTGTATTTTTCCTAGTACTGGTAAATTTACTGGTAGAACGTATAAACATACTTTTTCATTTAAGCACAGAAGTTTCGAAATTGTCACTTTTATTGCGCACTGACGATATTAATTATTAATATGTGGATGTGTGTTTAGAAATTTCATTATCTTGTGATCAGACCAGCTGCAACGTAGCGGGTTATCATTCCATTTGCCTCCACCTAGCAACGGGATAAACATGCAGATAAACGAGCAGAATGCTTTGAGAGGTCGTGGAGGCAAGCTCGAGAGCTTCTCTGTTTCTACTGATAGTCGGTTCATGCAAAAGAGTGCATGGTTTGCCAAAAAAATTAGCAACATTAGTTATGAGGGTTTAATAAAGTTAATAATATGCCTTGTAAGCCTGTAAGAAAGAAGACTTGTGAATAAATTGTAATTCTTGGCGTTGATAAAGGCTTTCATTTCTCACACGAAGAAGCGATCGACGTGAAGGCGATGACGGACTGTGACTCTGACGATTTTGAATGCAAACATTTGTACAAAACTGTTCGCACGCATCAGTTCCCCGAGTCCCATTCGCATTCATATGATTACACGAAAACCGGGGCTGTCGACGTGAACACTCCACCTCCGGTTGGGCTGACTCAAAAAGCAGCAAGCCACATAGATTGGCCGCAGATAATTGCTGGACCAAGGCACGCACAGTCCGTCACAGTCACAGTCCGTCGTAGGGTGCGATGTGAGAAAATAGCAATGTGACGTAGCCATGCGATCGAATCATCACATCACATCATCAAGCAGATTCAGTTCCTTACGGCAAAAGATTACCGATTTTGAAGTACAAGTGATAAGTACTGATACATAAACATATGATATACACCGTAGTTACCTGTTTAATTACGTTTACTTGAGTTTCATAATTAGTTGTTTAGTTCTACATTAATTATAAAATCATTTCTTTACACTACAAATATGCATTTTATTTGTTTTGTTTATTTCTTCTCTACCCCGAATGCTGTTTGTATTATCCTAAACTTTGGGTTTCCGGGGTTCTACTATATAGTAATTTTCCTTTAATGCAATCAAAAATTGAACGAAAAATATTTATTTCTTAAAAAATGTACAAGGCCTAATTTAATGATATATTTTTACAACATCGCGACATCAACAATATCATTTGGGGAATATCTATTTTTGGAAAACATTCTGTATACGATTTACAAGAATTAATGCCAAACGTCACGAACGATCAATTTGAGAAACACGGTGTAAAGGTACACAGAACGTTGATTTAGGATGTACGTGTATGAGAATGTATAAGTATATTAGCAAGATAGTAATATTTTTATGTCAGGGTACCAGAAAACGACGTTTTGTATTGAAGAATACACAGTTTTTTCCTGCACATAACTTTCTCTACAGGACTACTAATACCCGATAAAGAAAAAACTACCATGGAAGCTAATACATGTTGCAGAAACAAATTATCTTGAATTATACATAGCTCAGAATTTCATTGTTTCATTTCAATCTAGCAGTTAAATGAAAGTCGAAGAATTTATATATTGTATGAAACAGGCATAAATAGTACAAGTAAAACTGACAAAGAGAATAAAATATAAATTAGATTTCCTTTACTTTAAGAATGAACACTTTCGAAAAAATAATTGTCCATTTCTTTATTTTATGCAGGACAGGATTGGCGAGACATGCGTGCCACCTTGAGCCCTGCTTTCACTTCAAATAAGATAAGATTTATCTTCAAACTGATAGACAACTGCGGCGCTCAGATGGAAACATTTTTAGAGAAGGAAATTGAGACAAACGGAGGTAGGTATCATTTCACGAACCATTGATAATGACATCTTGTCATGTGTGCACCGACGTTTTCAGAATAGTTGTTATTTTTTCGTGCAAAGAATACTATTCTCATTGGTGAGCAGAAAAACTCATCGTTAAAGGTCTTTGGTCTATTTTAATTACTCTACGAATAGAAATTAACATTTTCTATTCATCTAATTAATTTCTTTTATAGTACTTCAAGAAAAAATTTATATGATCTGGAATATTCCTCTATTAATATGAAATTATCTGAATTTCCCTGTAAACGAAAATTGCTTCCGAATATAATATATTCAAAAGCATTGTATTTCGTAACCCCCATACATTTCTTTTACGGATAGAACTGGAATTTTCGAAAGAAAAACTCTTATTACCGGGTTCTGGTAACGATAAAGTGGATAAATCGTGTTCTTATCTGTAGTAAATCACTTCTTCTAACACGTTATGTAGTCAGAATCCACATTTAGTGAATCACATTTGATATCACCAATTGTACGTGGATGACCCAATAAACCGTGCCAGATGAAATGCTAAGTTAATGGGCTACAATACTAACCTTATCAGGATAATCGTAAATATCATGGTCTCAGGTTTTTGGCACATTTCCTTTGAAGATGCTACCACATGCTGCCTTGAAGGTTGGTCTTCTTCAATCGATGCCGGAGGAGTAAAATTCAGCTCTCCTAAACTAAAAAAAAAAAAAATTTCCTGTGGCCCTCTTCCAGCCTCTCCTTGATTTTGCACACCCTTCCCCCACAAACTGACTCTTCCCGCTCTTGAGACGTTTACATGAAGACATTAACCAGACACCCACTCACCCGCAGATCCAAAAATATTTCTAATTCGGGTTTCAAACTTCTCTCTGTGCACTGTCCCCTGACTTTCGCCCCTTATAGCGAGTTAAGCGACTCAACTTATTATTTTACTTTTAAAAATTTCATTTTAGGTTGTATTTTTTTTAAATACATCGATTTTAATTTCATTATTTGTATCATACCTACTTTTTGTTGGAAAACAGATTGGAAAACCGCAGGATACGCCTCGAGGGCTTGGATGCGCTTCATCCTTCACTTTGGTTAGGATCTAATTAATAACGGAAGGACAGTTCACACATCTCCCGAGTCTGCGGATTGCAGCGCCTCCCGGGCATCTCCGGTTGTCACACGCCGCCGGTCCACGCTGGGGAGGTGCACGAATTGTCTCGGCAGTCACGTGAAATGTGCGTGACTGAAATGACAGTGTTGGCTTCACACTCGTTCACGTCTTCTTTCTGGTGCTCGTAGTACTTACTCTGTCATACACGTAGATTTCAAAAGCTTTCTAATTGTATCACGGCGTTTTATCCGACTGTTCCACTCGCGTAGCAAACTCTGTGTTCTCTTCGGTTCCTGTGGCGTACAACGCCTTCCCACAATCTCCTCCGCTTCTCTGCTAAATGCTCTCAGAACGTTATCAAACGGGCTGGACTATTTTTGTCAGATCTAGAATTTCTCGAAAATTCGGCCGAAAATACACAGTGATAGGGCCAACGCTACCCCTTCTCTATCTGCCGCCAGTATGTAGTGCAATTGGTAGGTGCATTTTACCCGGAAAAAGGTCATAAAAACTTTTTTCTTTTGATATTTTGTATGTACGCAAATACTAGTTAACCCCCCCCCCAAGCTTTCTACCTCCTATATTCTGTCCCACATTCCAGGAGGACCATAAACCAGCATTGTTATGATTTTCTCGAGATTTATCTCTATAACTCCTTAACCATAAGTCGTATAGAAAAATTATTCAATTCGATTTTTTAGAGGATAATATTTTCTATAACTTATTATGAAACATTTTTCTAAACCAATTACCAAGAGAGCAACAGCTTTTCAAAAAACGATTTTTTTTTCATTGATCTAAAATGTTTGCCAAAACACAATGTTTCTGATATAAATAAACCAATAATAAATATAATTACATGTAATAATATTAATTATCTCACTGTCGGTGAAAGCATTGCCGCACAAATACACGCATTGTTGTAAATATTAATTGACAAAAAATATGTTTGTGTATATGTGCGTATTCGTGTTGTAGCTAAACTTTTCAACATGGAAATAATGTAATTTCAACAAAACGTGATGTATATTATTACCCGGGAATTGCCCTGGGGGTGGCGGAATAATACTGTAGGGTAAGACACCACTAAAAAGGTGATTGGGAAGGAAGTGATATTTACTAATAAATCATTATATACCGCGTGTAATGTGCACTACGCTGACCCAGTGTTTATGATGGGCATTGCTATTTAATTGGTGGATGTGATAAATAAATACACCCTATTTAAAGGTATTAAACTTTCTTACTTTTATATATTTTTTGTAAACTTACCACTAACCGAGCTCCATCTCCAAAACAGCACAAAAATTATGTAGATTGGAATGCAATTGTGGGGCCTGTCGACCACCTGATTACCAGCAAACATTTTCACGCATTCATTGCTCTCTTTCAGGCACTTTATACGAAGTAGAGATGAAGGATTTCTTTACCAGGTTTGCCAGTGACGTCATTGCTACCAGCGCCTTCGGCATTGAATGCGATTCGTTGAGGCATCCACAAAACGAGTTTTACCTCATGGGGCGAGAGCTGACCAAAATGAATGGCATTCAAATGCTTATCATGTTGGGTTATATGTTTTTCCCGAAGCTCATGGAGGTAAATTCGCAAAACCAATACAATCATCTTATTTCAATGCTGTTAGTTCACTAATATCTACAAAATAAAATGCTTCTATAGTATTAGTCTCCCTCAACAAATTGTTGAATGCTTCGTAGTGTTGTTGTTTTAGCAAACAGTTATTAGTATCATAGTGTATACTGAATAACAGTAATTTCACTTGCAAGTTATAGGCTGTAAAGGATTGCAGAAATACAAAATTGAGAATATCATTACATATTTCAGATTCTGAAGATACCGTTCAAAAGTTCAAAAATTAGAAACTTTTATCACAGTCTCATTCACGACACCATCAAGGAGCGCCAGCAGAAGGGCATCTTCCGTCCCGACATGCTGCAGCTGCTCATGCAGGCGCGCGAAGGACAGCTCAAGGCGGAAGCTGGAGACGAGCAGGAGAACATCTCGGGCGCCAAGCTGAAGAGTGAGTTTGCACCACTCGAGTAGCAGACTAGAGTGAACTGGTCTGGAAAGCTAAGGACCTCTTTCTGTTGGCCAGAGCTGACGGATCTCGACATGACGGCGCAAGCCGTCATCTTCTTCTTCGCCGGCTTCGACACCGTGTCCACCGCCATGAGCTACTGCGCCTACGCCCTGGCCCGTCACCCGGAGGTGCAGCAGCGCTTGCAGCGGGAGGTGGACGAAACCTTCGAGAAGAACGACGGAAAGCTCACGTACGAGGCCGTGCAGGAAGCCAAGTACTTGGACATGTTCATTAGCGGTAAGCTTGGCACCTGAACGAGAGATGTCAGCACTTCCAAGTCTCCAAATATCATTATTTAAATTCATACTAATCGAATGATTTCATATGCTTCTTAGAATTTGTAATGCCAGGGCCACATTTTAATTTATTCGTCAGTTCTGAATTATACAGAACATTTGAGGTGAGAAATTACTTGTCTCACCTTATAAAGTGCAGCAAACTACGTTGTCTTTTACGCTTAGCATTGTCATAATAAGCCAACCACATAGATGTTATATTTCTTTCTTTTCTGCTGTCTGCAAGTAAACTAACTGGGTGGTGTGAATCAAAACCTGTTATTTACTTTGTGACTGAAGTGTACAAAGCACAAACCAAGCAAAAACATATACTTAATTTAGTGTAAACAAACTTTCAATTTTACTAGGAAGAAAATCCTGCGAAAATAAGTAAATAGTATTTGGAGTAAGCTGTGAAACCGTATCTCATGCGTAGGTATATGGCAGGTTAGGTTGGTTGCATGTTGTTTCACTCTGTCTTTTAATGACTGTCAGGCTGTCCGTCCGTTATCAACGCCAACGACGTCCATGCATTTTTTCCAAATTGACAATCTCTGAACGATATAAACGAACTTAAGGTTTTTGTAAGTTAGTAGTGGATATTTTGATTTCTTGAGGGGGGAGGTACTTACATAAAACATCAACAATATTTTCGAAATGTTCTCAGAAATGTCTTCAAATTTTCTGATTAAACTTTGTCCTCCGATAGCGTAAACGGTTACTTAAAAATAGCACAGGTCTCATTTTAGTTGAGATCTCAAAATTTTTGAAAATTGCAATTTTAAAAAGTTCTGAGAATTTAGCGATAATGCGTTCTAGGTACCCATATTAATAAGAATCTTTTGCTCTATTCGAAGAGTAAGGAATAAGTAAAAACAATTGGAGATATTTTTGAGAAAATTTTGAATGAAAATGTTAAAGCTTCATGTAAAAGACTGAAATATGGAGATGAATAGTCAATTTATTTCTTTCAAACTCAAATGACCGCGATCTCAGCCATATCGATCTAAGAATGTCAATTTTAGTGAAAATCATAATTTCGATGTAGTCGCTGGCGTACTTCACAGACGGACAGACGTTTTGCCTTAAACCATTTTTTTGGTTTAAATGACTCACAAAACTTAAATACTTAGTACAATAGCATAGAGAAAGTACTACATGTAGGAAGAAGACTTATTTACTATTTCGGCACAAGGACGGCCATAATACACGTTTTCTATTGAAAACTCGCCGATTTGTATCGCAGCTCGTACTCTCTTTGTGCAAGGTATGCTGTATGCGAGAAAGCAAAAAAATAGAAATCAAAACGTCTCACCGTCTTAAAAATACTAGTTTACGGGAAAGAAACTTGTAATGTACTTATTTTACTCTTTGCTTTCTCTTTCAAGTAGCTAAAACCTAGCATTTTAAATAACTGTTAATGAACAATCAATTTATTTATCAATTCCAATTTTTCTACAGCTATCAGTCAAGCCAGTAACAGTAATTCCCAAAGGATTGATTTTAGGATTGAATTGCAATTTGGAATTCATTCTTTCTTAAAATATATATTCTTTAATAACAGATGCAAAGAGGAATTTATCAGGATCACCTTTCTTGAACAGAGGTCATGCGGCTCTACTCGTCTGGCCCTTCGTTGGATCGCAAGTGCACCAAAGACTTCACCATCCCTGCGCACGGAAATGCCCCAGCCTACACTGTGCAAAAGGGCGAATCTGTTGCCATTGCGGTCCTTCCTCTCCACAAGGACCCAAAGTACTGGGATGACCCGGAGACCTTCGATCCTGAGCGATTCAGCGATGAAAACAAGCACAAAATTACTCCGTTCACGTTTATGCCATTTGGAGTCGGGCCTCGCATTTGCATAGGTAAGAAACTTTAGTATGCCGATCAATTAAAGAGAACACTTAATATTCCGTCCGTGTAGGAGACAACATCGTAATATGTCGGATAAATAACGGAGAACGTTCTTCCCCATAATCTCTATACTTTTCAAGATACTGAGATTGTGTTGTTGGGATTCCTTACTTTTTGATCATACTAATTAACGTCTTGGGTATATTCCGTAAATATGCCATGGAATGTACTCACATTCGCGTAAATATTGCTTCGATTGCAGCCTGTACTCTCTCTTTGCGAGACAGCTGAAAGCGCAGTTTACCATTGGAACTCACATTTGTGACGGTAACGTCTTCACTCGCAAAAAAATCCTTTTCCATCCTGAACTCGTTTCCATTCCAGCTTATCCGCTACACTTTCACACGGAGTACCTAGGATGCAATGCTTCCATGCAAGTTCTTTGAATTTGCTAAGAAGCTCATTTCTTTCGGTTTACATGAGTAGAATAAACAAATTATATTCTCATGAAATTCTCAAATTAATAATTCCTTAGTCAAGTACACAGAATTTTCTTTCGAAGAACAAAACAAAATACGAGTTCTGTATTTTAAAAAAAAATTAAAAAAACAAGGACAGCACGCATTTACGGAATGTCTAGGTACTGAATAAAATGTAATTAAATTCAATATTTCAATGACAATGTAGTAATTTAATAAACATTTTCCATTTCGTCCTGAGGAAGATCGCAGCATGCCCGCCGAAATAGGCATCTGTGCCTCCGACGTGGGATAGCCACGTAGAGTAATTCAATGTTTTGATTTAATGCCATTTTAAGAACAGATCAACAATATAGAGTCATGTTACACATTGTCATTTATTGCAGATATACTGCAATTTGTAAAGTGACGTTTTTACTTTGGTAAGTACATTAGCATTGAATTCAATGGCGCGTGCATACAAGGGTCTTTGTTACTGTTTGCAGGGTTCCGGTTCGCGCTGCTGGAGGCGAAGGTAGCCCTGGCCCACATCCTTCGGCACCTGACCTTCCGGGAGACAGCCAGGACCCCCAAGGAGGTGGCGTACAGCCCCACCGACCTGAGCGGGGTCATCGTGGGCGGCTTCTGGGTCGGGCTGGCGCCGAGGGCTCCTCGGCAGTAGGGCCGCAACGCGAGAGCTGCCTTCTCTTCACTTGGTCTCATAAAATCGAAAATAATATCTGGTCGCTTGTATTACAATACATTGGTACGAAACATTCGCCTTTGACTTCCGAAAACTGGTAAATTCGAACATGAAAATATTATATTGTGGTAGAAGTACATTATTGTCTGTATTTCCAAAGCGCATTTGCACAACTGGACCAAAAAAATGTAAATACAATAAGAATGCAGATATTTCTTGAAATTGTAAATCGAGCTGATGCTTTTAAAAATACTCGTATGTGTACAATACATTTGATATATAGGGGAAGAGGTAGGAATATGAGATACTCTTTGTTTTGGGATATGTAAGGTGCCGGAATAACGGTATCTAATAAAATGAATTGCGGGGTCTTACTATGTTTAATATGAAATGTGCTGTATTAACCTAAACGTTGTGGAACTAATAGGTTTTAAATAATATGTGATAGGTTATCACAAGTGAAAATAAATGTGAACAGTATAATTCATAATAAAAATAAATATGAAGATAATAACAACGGACGACAGAAAAATAAACAAAGTAGTGAAGCATGAAAGAGAATAATATACGGGAATTTGAACGTAAACAACAGCGGGGAAAGTAAAAAATATTGTGATAAGTTGAAATAACGCAAGGACATGTTAGCAAATTCCGTGGGGGTCAAAATAAATTAATAAAATGATAACGACAAGAACCAGAGAATACATATATAAAGTACGTAAGTAAGAGTGATCAATCAGAAAATGGATTGTGGTCGAGTAATCGAATTACATGCGCCGAAGAAGAAAGAAGAGACACGTTTGTGTACTAGTGGCTGTGGGACAAATGAAGGGTGCGCAGAATGGACAAATGGGGCAGACGGTGCTTAGATCCAGGGGCGATGGGATGTGGGGATGATTATTTCGATATTGCTAAGTTAGAATTGAAATCGTAATTTTAACGCGAAACTCTCGATCGCAGGTGATAGCGTCATGAATTAATAATGACTTCATAATGAGTAATTTTCAGGAAAAGTTCGGAATTAAAATGAAGATATAATTACGATATAGAAGAATGGGCATGTTGATGTGGACTAAAACCAACAAAATGAGAGGGGAACAAACCTTGCACAACGGTCAAGAACGCTGGCATTCTATAAAAGAAAAGTAAACAAACCGGGGACATTTTTCAATTTCACCTGGTGTAGGAAGATCAAGTTATGTCTTAAAATAAGAATTACATTATTATTCAAAAGGGTAGATGGCCATGCATGCAAGAAGGGAGAGAAGTTCAAAGGAATAGTATGCAAAGTAACTACGAGGAATTTCATAATAACTAGCGTACCCGTGCGAGAACTCTCGCATGTTAATCCCCACCCTTCCCTATCCTTTCCACTAAGAAGGAAAGTTGTTATGAAAGGCGATTATTTGAGAAATAATATATAAATGTAACTTCGTACTTACAGAATATCAAACAAAAATAAAAACAATGCAATTGACGTGGGAAACAAATTTTCAATAAAGGTATATTAGAAAAATGTTCTTCGAACAATTCTCAGAACATTCTTGAGAAAGCTACGTGACTGAACACGCTGACCTGAACGTTTCACCGAATCACGGCAGATAACGAATATACTGGTAGAGGTAAAACACAAACCAAACCTAACACGACACATCATCACTGTACACCTATATCCCTCCACAATTATGTACAAAGCACTTGTATACCTCCGCAAAATGGTAAATGAATGTTTTCACTTCACGCATAAGAAACAATCTTCATAGGTATCAATCCACTATTAATAGTAATTCTAGTTGTTGCTGCGAGAGCTAGATTATCTAGAATTAATAAGTATGCCAATAAACCTCGTCAGTCTACAAACCATGGTGTTCACAGAAATCGTATAATCGTAAATAGTATAATATAGAAGAATCTAAGCCTTCTGAGCGTGATTCCCACCATCACCAGAGGTTGAAATATAGGTGGCTTTGGTAGTATCAATAAGTTCCTAAGTAGCAAAAATTTAATAGAATGTTTAAGAGTCAAGAGTATCTCATCGTATATTTATGGTGTGAGAAAAGTTTCTTTACGGCCTTTCGCCACAAAAGTTTGGCCTTAAAGGCGCTAGAACGCTTTGTTTAGGACTTATTTAACGATTTAGCTGAGTGCTGCTGATTGCATTTGATATGAATATTTAAATGCATTTTTTAAACAAATCCTTTGTATTTTAAAGTCAAAGTGCTATTCGTTACGTCTCTATGAAATTATCGTTCTTTAGATGCCTTATTTATAAAGATCGGTTGCGTGTGAGAACCGCAAAAGTTATGTATATAATTGAAATAGTATAGGAGACGAGTCTTGTCCATATTTGTTTTGAAATTGGGATTTTGTTTTCAGCTGGGATATTTGTCTCTATGTTTTTTGCAGAATACAAATAGCATATGTTACTCTACAGAAGTAAGTATTATTATTGCTGTGTAACAGCAAGGAATATTCCTGATCCCACGCAGAAAAAGATAAATAATAGCATACTTAAATATTTCACCGATGAGATCCTATATAGACGGCCTATCGAACCTGCTAAATAAAATTTATGATGACTGGACCACTTAGATACGACGTGTGGGCTACGGTCGCGTGAATATTCAAATGTCTACATAAATAGAATAAGTAATTGGAAGGGGTACATGGAGTAATGACCGTCAGATTGGGACACAAATTGCCCGTAGGTGTAAACATTATGTTGATATTTCGGCATTATTAGTGGCTGTAAAAGAGAAAGAGGAGGTCCAGCCAGGAATATTTAATTTTTCTAAATAGTGTCGCTACCAGTGAATTGAAAACTCGGGTAGTTATATAACCAATTTTTCGGTTTCCCACAAAAGTACATTCTGGCTTTACGACATTTTAGAGGAAGTAATTTACTACATTCAGGAATGAGATTTATTCACTTTTTGGATATCAAGATCACCATACGAGTTATTCTGACAAAATTTCGCCAAAAAATCTGTTTCCATTACAACACTATATCTACGAAAGTACCTAATAGCGAAAATATAAAAGGGATCCGCAGCTTGAGTTGCATTTGTAACCATTAGTTTCGTTCAAGAGAAACTTTTTCTAAACTGGGTCTCAACAGCATTTTGCACTTCCACTGACCTCCAGAGCCACGCGCGAGCCACTCGAGCGCAAATGCGGGCAAGGGGGAAGGGTGGGGATGAGTCTCGTTCTAGAACTGTAGCAGGTAAATTGAAAGAGTAATCGGCGAGAACATGGACTGTTACATACATTTTAAGTAATATTGCCTTTTGTTATTTTGGAAATGTTTGTTATCGATAGATGGAAATGTGAAATGGGTACCAAAAACGAATTAGATATACACATTTCATTTGGAAACCATGTATTACTATTGCCTGCTGGGCTGATAAGATAATTCGCTTTTCTAATGTAATACGTAATTCGTTTTTGTTTGATGATGTTAGTAATAGACAATTTTTATTGCCTATGAGTAAATGAATAGCACAATTGTATCAAAGCTAAAAAAATATTCTAGAAGTTATAATTACTTTCTGCTCTAATTTCTAATGAGAGAACTTGAATATTTCGAATACCAAATCAACGAACACGTTTTATTCGTATTTGCTGACGACAACGTAAAAAAATGTTTAAGCCCTTTGCATTTTATTATACCAGACCCATAATAATCTCAAGATTGCCCGAAACTTAACGTCCAAGAGGTTTTCTCGTTGGTATTTGTCGTTAATATTCATAATGGGGGGAAATGGTCACAAATAGATGTGCTGCCAAATATTACCCTTCTTGTAATTGCCTGTATTTCATTATCTGTCAATTTTGATGTGAAATATTGCTCCCATAATGTAAGTAGGTACATTTTTGTCCTGAAACAGATTTTACAAGAATTCGAAAGGTATAATAAAGGAAGGCATTCAATCTACGCGCCACGTCGTCTCCACTGCGCAATGGCAATTGCTCCCCTCCCCGCAAAGCTTCCCTTCCCCCCACTACTTGCTCTGCGACGTGCCCCGACCCTCGCGGGCAGACGTCCGACTCACGCAGGCCTGCTCTAAACCTTGTGTTTGACAAACGACTGCGTAGGTACTGAGAACTGGACTTAGTCCTTGAAAGTGCATTCATTTTGGGTTACTATAAAGGAAGATACGTCCATCTCGGTTTAAATAAGAAACATTCGAAAATAAAACACACACACTCGCACGAAATTAATCACGAGCGCATTTCTCGATCTCGCGTGTTGACGAACAATAATTATAGTGCCGAAAATACTTAACGCTTATTTGACAAAGGCCTAAAAATACTTATTCGTAAAGTGGAAGCCTAAAAATGACTTCTCTGTTATTGAAGGTGTGGACAATAAACTCGAATGAAACTCTAGGTAGAAAATTATATTAATGCTGAAATGTCTAAAGAATAAAAATGTGTTGCTGAGTTTTAAGTTAAAAGAGAAAGAAGCTAAAGCACGGGCTCACTACCAGTCACACGTATTGAAATTAATATTTTTCTAAACATAAAATATTCTGAATGAAAAATCTTCAGAGTTGTAACATTTCCAGCTCTGTACGTACGTGATCCTTGTAATTGTTCGTACCTCAGTTTTTAAATAATACAATCTGGTCTAACAAAATTATTCTAAAACCTCTTTTCATGTTAATTGAAATTGCCCATTTAAGAAACTGCGTGCTTCGAAAATTCTGTTTTAAAAGCGCAAATTTTAGAACCTAAATAACTAATCCCTAATTAAACTTCGCCCGAGGCGCGTGGCTGTCGAATGAAGTGGTGAACCTGCCTTCAGCCACGCTGCCTGGAGCTTCGTTTCCGACGCTCCGCCAACGCCCAAAACAAAACTCCGCCATTGATCTGTTACGTCACCGCTCGGCGCCCGCGCGGCGCGGCGCGCGCAGAGGAAACGCGGCGCTTGAAGGTCGCTCCAC